ATGTAGTAGTCGCGGCTGTATCTGATCACAAAAGTTTTAATTGTATAATCAGGACACAAGTATTGCATGTACTTAGAATATTTTTTTAATTTACCTTTTGTAATCAATTTCGCTACGACTGTCGTCTGCCGCATCTGTTTTTATCAGAGATATGGGACTTTTTTCCGTGTTCGGAACTATATTCGGTAAATCCATGAAACGTTCTTGGCTACCGCTGATGCGACGCTTCAACGCCTCTGGCGCGTACGGATTATTCGGCATTTCCACAGCATTATTCCACTTTTTGTACTCACGCTCTGCAATAGAGCCTGAAAGAATCGAAGTAAAGCATTCAGATATTTTTGTTTCAGAATCTTTTCATAACTAAGTAGGGAATGGAGAAAAGTCTTCCGCAAATACGAATGAGTTGCTTAATTAAAAAAAAAAAAAAACACTTACATTATATATGAACACATATACAAATATAGACACAAGTTAGCTTAATTTATAAATAATGACGGTAAAACACGAAAACAAAAAAACAACAACAACACAGAACAACGAAGCACAACACAACAGACCACAACACCGAGCGATGTTGGCATTCACTTTGTGTTACCTGGCACGAAACATCTCAAATGGATAACATCATCATCTGCACTGTTAATATCTGGTTGGTGGGTACTGTCGTTGTTAATAAAATGATCTTCTTGGTTGACGTTACAATTAGATTGTGATGGACTTATTCTTAGGTATGAGCCGTTTGTTAGTATGGTAGTAGTCGCGGTTGTGCTATTATAAATGTTAGTTAGTGGCAGATCTAGTAGTTCATTATTACAGTCTGCCAGGTATGATTCGACAGTTGTTGGCGCACTTTCGTCAGTGCGATTTGAGTCGGAACTCAATTGATCTGAGAAAAGAATATCGTTAAGGAAGTTAAATTTACAATCACTGAGTGATTTTATAAGGGAGTCATCAGTTTCATCATCTATAACATCATCTATAGGGAGAGGTGGAGGCGGTGTGCTTAATATGAGTGTATGCTCGGGGAGAACAGATTGCGTATGATATTCGTAGTCAAAATCTGTTTCAAATGAGTCAATGGAGCGCAGATACTTTTGCATGACCTCTGATTGACGCCGCTGCTTTTCGAGCGCAGCCAAGAGTCTTTTATCTCTTATAAAAGTTTTGCTCAGTGAGGCCAGGTGCGTGGCATATCGCAGTGAACAGTCTTCATCGCTCGATGTTGTGTCGACTACATGTGACTGTCTGCAAAGCCGCTTTGTCATGGGTCTAAATAAACTTAAGGAGTCAGCGAAGGCTATACCGCATGTGTCTGAGTTATTGTTAGGACCTAAAGATCTTGCTTGGGCAAAGCCTTCATCTCTATTTCCACTTGAAACAATATCTTCAATCGACATTCCTTCTATAAAACCGGTAGAACAGCTTTGACCAGTAATTGTAGCTTCAGAGGTAAAAGTGTGCGACCGCAAAGTTGATGAATCGAAACCAGAAACACAATTTTCTATTTCTACAGTGGCCGATATGTTTTCATAATTTTGTTCAGCTAAATTGTGAGCCTCGTTAGGTGCTTCTGAAGAAAGTAAATTAGCCAATTCTTTTGATGTTTCTGCTTCCACGCATTTTGTAGTATTTAGAATCATAGTCGTGGGCTCTTTACTCGGTGTTGTAGGCAGAGTTTGTGTTTCAAGATCTAGTAGTTTTTGTGATTCGGCGATCTTTTTTTAGTGCATCCGGCGTTCCAGCGTCTGTTTGAGATGCAGTCTGAGTTTCCGGGCTCAATGTTGTATGCGGAGTTTCACAAAAGACGTTTAGTGGTATTCTTGTTTCAACAGCAGCTAGGGACGATGACTCTGATATACATTCACTGGGATTCTGCAAAAGGATTGTATTCGGTAATATGCGCTCAACGAGAACTGACATTGTTTCTGTTTCATCAGTGCACTTTGATTCTATATTAGCCGATGTTACTTGCGTGTTGACTGATAATTTATCTTCTTCAATAGTTCGAAGGAAACAGTGTGATGCAGATTGTTTGTGACCATCTAAAATCATTACATCTGTTTTTGTATCCACATTGACAAGCGGTACTGACTTCAATACGTCAGCCTCTTTTCCTTGCAAAGGTGCCACGGGCACTTGTATTTCATCTGAGGCTATGTCTACTTGGACGACCAGTTCTGGCTCCAACTCGTCGATCAACAATGGTTTTGGTTCTGAAGTAACCCCATGGAGAACTGAATCTGAGGCTGTGTCCACATTGATTATTTGAACTGGCTGTACTTCACCAGTCGACGTAAGTTCGAGTTCCTGGGGAATGTCGCGAAGAATTGAATATGAGAGTGTGCCCTCATTGACTACCGTGGGATCTTCTTGAGCGATTGTTCCTGGCGGTATCTCCATATTAACGAATACCTCTGTCTCTATTTCACCAGTATACGGAGATTCTAGTTCTCGAATAATTCTTTCTGTTGGTGGTTCCACATTGACGACCGACACTGGCTCCTCTTCGGCAAATTGAATAAGTTTTGATTCCGTGGAAACCTCTCCTGCATTTATCATGGATAATGGGACAATTTCGTGGGTCTGTGAAAACTGTATCTCAGTTGGAATATTTTGAATCATTCTATCTGGCTTTCTGTCTTCGCCGACGACGGGCTGTACTCCAGGTGTCAGCATTTGAAGAATGTTATCTGTTATTTGGTCCTCAGTGTTAATTGAAACTGATTCTACTTCGTTTGTCTTCAAACATCCTGATCCCTCGACGTAGCTTTCATTGATTGTTTCTGACTGTATTTCCTCACTAATGTTTTGTATGGGCTTCACTAGGGCGGTCTGCATTGCGTCTGAATTCGTGAGAATATCTTGAAATATTGTCGTCGCTAAACTCTCTTCGGCGACTGAAACTGTATCAATTTTTGCGGACGGCGTTGCTTTTGGCTCCGTGTCAATCTCTTGTGGGTATTCTGACAGTACTGGTTCATCGGATAGTAGTGGCTTTGATTCCGTTGTAAGATTTTGAATGGATTTGTATGATGTAAATTCCGCATCGGTAACTTTGTCGATATCCGGTGGATATTCAGCTGCAGTAACGATGGGCATTGGTTCTATTTCTTCAGCTTGTGGTGGCTTTAATTCCGACATTTTATATATTTTATCTGACATTAGATTTTCAGTAAAGATAGGCGCTGAACACATGGCTTTGCTTTGAATTAAGTTTGACTGCATATTTTCACTGATATCCTGCACTGGCTTTACTTCGTCGGTTGTTGTTGTTGTAACGGTCTCCACAGCCTCTGATTTCATATAATTCTCTTCACGAATTGTATCACAAGATATGCCTTCATTGATCACTGGTCCTACTTCTAATTCACAGGTCGGCATAGGTTGCAATTCTGCAGAAAGTTGTTCCACGATGAGTGATGTTGATTCTGAAGCAAGCGCTTGAAACATGGTTTTTGAGAGTAAATCTGCCCTGATTTCGGACAATGCTTCCACTTGGGCAGCCAGCTCGGTTTCTGTTCCCGGAGGATTCTCGTGACAGGTTGTTACTGGCGGTATTTTCGCTTTAAGAATTATCACTGAATCTTTTTCGTCGGCCCGTGATAATGTTGACTCCACGATATCGTGAATGATTGTTGTTGACGGTTCGTACGGTGTAACGATCGGAGTTAGTTCTACTAGGTTGGTCTGCGATGGTTGTGATTTTATGGTATTGGTTTGCGTGAATGTTTTTGAATTTATTTCTGCACTGATTTCTTGATCTGTGTTCACTTCAGATTTCGTTGAATCCATCTCGAAATCTTGACGAATGGGATCAACGACCGATACGATACTTTCTTCATTGATCTGCCTTGGCGCTGATCCCGTGTCAAGGAGTGAATCTGAAGGTAAGTCTGAATCGCAAATTTTTACTAGCTCTAATTTATTAATCTCCAATGTTTCTGATTCCGCGGAAATCTCTTCTTTAATTATGTTTAGTGGTATTTCCTCATTCATAACTACAATCGCCTCTATTTCGTCTATCTGAGTTTGTTTTAATTCCGCGGGAAGCTCTTGAATAATTGGAGCGGAGATGATGTTCGCCTCAGCGCCTGGCACTGGCTCTGCTTCATGCGGCAGTTTTTCTTGGCTCAGTATCTCTTGAAAAATTGAATTTGGCGGTATTTCCGAATTGGCAACTGACACTGGTTCTACTTCTTCCAGTCGCGGCGACTCTGATTCAGTAAAAATCTCTCGAGTGACTGTTTTGGGTGGTAATT